TTGAAATTGCTTCGTAACAAAAGTTCAACAGAAACTTCAAAAGTGGCAATTGCAACAGTTCAAAAATATGGAGCACCTTTCTGTTTCTGGTCAGATAACGGTAAAGAAAATGAGGGAGAGTTCACAAAATTTTTGAGTACTTATGACATTCAAATCAGAAAATCAGCTCCATACATGCCACGTCAAAATGGCAAAATTGAACGCCTCTGGCCATCACTGGACAAAAATGCTCCAAAGTCTTCAGAATTTGAGAGCATCAATCAGGAATTGGAAGAATTCAGGCAAAAATACAATGACATGCCACATGGCGCTCATCCAAAAATTGGAGTTCAACCATACACTCCAAGAGAGGTTTACAACAAATTTAAGAAATGGACCAAGGATGATAAACCGCTCTGGGAAAAATGTGTTAATAAGCAGTGGGAAGTTGAAGAGATTCCAAACTATTGAAATATTCTATATTTTTTCAAAAATTCTCATTCAAATTTGAATTTGGTTTTCAAAATTATGAATAAACATTATTTTTATTAAACTTGATTTTTAGCTCTAAAGAATCAAAGGAATTTAGCGAGAAAGAATATGCAGCTCACATAGGGGTAGATAAAGATATATCTCGAAAAAAATTGAATTTATTGTAAAGAATGAAGAAGTTCATTTTAAGATTGAGTTGATTTTCAACCAAAACGAGAGAGCATGCAGGCAAATGAAATTCGAAAAGTGAAAGGAATGACATATGCAAAAGAAAAGATTCAAATAACGCAAGCGAAATATAGATCAGTTAAAATCAGAATAAAATTTCGATCTTTTCTACAGGGAACTAAAGGCTATGAGGCACTAATATATAATCAGTGCCTCATAGCCTTTAGTTTGTTATTAAAACGAGAAAACTTGTTCGAAATGATAAAAATTGCGAACAAGTTTTCTCACTTCAGCGAGGGAATTGTTCCTTATGATGCATACATTATAAATATATACATCATAAGGAACAATTCCCTCTAGATAGCTGGGAAACTTTCTCTAAATAACTTATCATTTGGAGAAAGTTTCCCAGCTATCTACTGGGAACTAAAGGCTATGAGGCACTAATATATAATCAGTGCCTCATAGCCTTTAGTTTGTTATTAAAAACGAGAAAACTTGTTCGAAATGATAAACAATTGCGAACAAGTTTTCTCACTTCAGCGAGGGAATTGTTCCTTATGATGCATACATTATAAATATATACATCATAAGGAACAATTCCCTCTAGATAGCTAGGAAACCCTAAATTAACTATTACTCTTTGAGATATTTTTTATTGAGGTTAATACGTTTTTCTAAATAATTAAAATGTAAAATTTTGATTGTGAACTCATCTCTAATATTTTGGCTCTTTAATATATTTGAATCATGATCTTTGAGAAGAGTTCTCAAAAGTATTCACAAAAGCTATTTTTCCTTGAAATTTAAAAATCCTGTTTATCATATATTACCGAATTCAATTCCCTACATATTTCAAAATATTCTATGAACATTTCAATTTTTGAAAAAAACATATTTTTTCCAAATATATTTATTATCATATTTCTAATAATATTTCCTAAAGTGTCACTTTTTACTTCCTCGACGATTATTTCCCTCTCAAAAAATTCAATAGCTTACATTTTGACAGAACATAAAATGTAACAGTAAAAAAATATTACAGTACAATATATACTGAGTAAGATTTTTAAAATTTTTATTTTCTGTATCTCTCAAAATTTATTTTGGTTATTTTTGAGACTTATAGTGTTCTTGTACAATGTCTATCATTTTAGTGACAATTTACCTGCTTTTTAATTCATTTTCTTTTGATTTTTATCTTGAAGGAATTTTGTTGAACTTCTTTTTGTTGAAAATGATTGTAATAGAAAAGACTTTTGTTAGTTATTTATATTTTTATTAAGAAATATTGAATTTTAATACTTTTTTTTTAATTATTGACGTGTATTCTGCATCAAAGTTCATAGCTATTCGCATATTGTATGATATCTTTGACTAATGAGAGATAGACATTACAAATGGCTCAACACTGTAATGCATGAAAATTCGGTTCAATTCATTTTTGACACTTTACATATCGGATATATTATCTAAGAATTATATTATAAAATAATAATTTTGTGTTTTATATGTTTATTTGTATAAATTGATTCAAAAAAATGGAAAGACAAGAAGTGGATCTGCCAAATGAAAATCAGTTTTTGAACTTTGTATAAGGAATTGTTGGCTATGATGTACTGATCATGAATCAGTACATCATAGCCAACAATTCCTTCCCAAACAGCGGGAAACTTTGTCTGAATAGTTTAACATTCAGACAAAGTTTCCCGCTGTCAGAGAGGGGATGGAAGGGTAAGAGGTATATATTCATAATGTATACCTCTTACTCTTCCATTCCCTCAAGAAAGTTCAAAAACTTGGGTGCAATCAGAACTGATTGCACCCAAGTTTTTGAACTTTGTATAAGGAATTGTTGGCTATGATGTACTGATCATGAATCAGTACATCATAGCCAACAATTCCTTCGCAAACAGCGGGAAACTTTGTCTGATTCCACACTAATTTTATTAATTTATCTAAACTTTTATCCTCGTCTACAATTTAATCATCAATAATTATCTCTTGTTCTATTTCACTATTATATATATATATATTTATATGATTTGATTTAAAAAAAATAAATTAATTAATAAATCATTTACTCAAATATATCAAAAGTTTTATTTTTATATATAAAGATAACTGCTTTTAAAAAAATACCCTATATATTTTGCCATGTAAACTATTTTTGTCATGTAAACTTATCACCTTCTGTCAGAAGTGAAGTGAACCGAATTTTCATGCACAACAACAAATGGCTCAACACAATATGTGATTTGGTAATCTTAAACGTCTATTTTTTTGAGAACATCAATCATTCCTCAGAATTTCAATTGGCTTAAAGTGGCAAATCAGCCGTACGCTGGAGAAAACATCTTATAACAGAAAAATTGGCAGGGTCTACCCCTAACTTAGCATAGTGGAATCTCATCCTGTCTGAGATACCAAAGGTCGTAAGTTCGATTCACGAATAATCATATTCGTTTTTTTCCTTTTTATTTATTTTGTATTTTATCTAGTATTATATTAGATAATACAAGATTATGATTAATGTATTACGTTAATATAGAGCTATATCTGAAGGACAAAGCACTTATATTGAAATATTTAGGCTTTTTAGAAAAAACTTAATATCATTAATCATAAAATTTGCAAATATAACTATGTAATGAGTTTAATGTATTAGTAGATAGCATTATACATGGAATTATAATATATCAGACAAAAATAAGAGAATTATAAAAAAATATTAAATAAAGAAATAAATTAAGTGCATTTTGATACTATACTAATATTTTCATTTTGATTTTAATGTTTAATGCTTAGAACACATGCCATATAATATAAATGCAACAAAAATATAACATCTATTCTTTTTAATTATACAAATAAATTATAAAGTTTACTTATGTATTTAGTATTTGACTAGATATCGCTTGTATGTTAGAAATCGGAATGAATAATTATTCAGAAAATTTAAAAATCAAATTTTAAATATTTTATAATATCCATATTCTAATGACATAGATCATTAAACACATGTTTATATTTTAAACAATAATATCAATGAAAAAGAAAAAAATGATTGCCATCGAATTCTTTCGAACCCGAGCTACATGCTTATACAGCTGAGCGATAACAATGATTATTTTTCGTTCAATTTTTTAAATATTTAATGACTTTGATAGGCATGCTCTTGTTATTTCACCTATAATATATGAGAGAATATATTTGCAATAGAATAATAAAGCTATTAGAAAGGTTTTGAGAAAATTTATATTATGGCGGGCTTTTTTTGGAGGGTGGATTATATCTATTGTTTTTATGATAGGATCATAATGAGTTTCGGATTCATTCCGAATTTCTTTTTTCAATTCAATCTTATAAAAATTCACTTTAAAATCAATTAATTATTATAGAAATTTACTTTCTGATAAATGTGCTCATATTTTTCTTATAATTAATGTTAGATAAATGAGTTCGAAAAATTCAATATTTTACTTTGTTTTTTTCAACTCAATTTGCTACTAAAACTCAAAACACAAGCATTAATATATTCTATATGAGAAAGTAAATTAGTACTTCATATAAAGTGATGAAGTGAAGTAACGTATTTTTGAGACTATAATAATAATTCTCAGACATACGATTATTTTTGATTCAAATGCCGTTCGGCATTAAAAGCAAAAATAATCATATACCTGAGAATTACACTTTTCTGACATTTTTGGGTTGCTTCGCGCCCCTGACAAAACATCGAAAAAGTGTAAATTTTTAATCGTGAACAAATATGAACTTTATTGTCATGATATATATATTCATCAAATATATTTTGCAAATTGATAAGAAAAATGGAAACATAATATTGGGGTTAACGTCTTCGCCAAATTGCGAATTCGCCATTTTGTAAAGTAAAATTGAGAGGAAAACAATAATATCAAAATAAAAATAATAGACCCTAACTTAAAATCATGAAGATTATCACACAATAAAAATGTTAGACCCTTTATTAATAAAAACGAGAATTCCACAAAATAAATATAACAGACCCTTTTATATGGTTTCGAAATTGAAAAATGGCGAATTCGCCAAAAAATTAGAAGTGGCGCAATTCGCCATTTTGCGAACTTTTTTTTAAATCCCTAAATATATATTACATTTTTATTTTTTAAAAAGAAGATCCAAAATTGAAAGAAGAAAATTGTAAGAACTTTGTAAGATTTTTCGTATTCGACTTCTAGACTCAACATTTACTTAATTCTGAGATTTTGGCGAAGGATATTTACATTGGGCATATAAATGAGCCTTAGATATACTAAATTTTGAAATTTTGAAATGAAATTGTCCTGTTGCTGGATTCATTATGAAGACATCTCCATTTACAGGTAATTATCATTTTCATTGATATTAGCTCCATGTGAAATAAGAACTTCTGCGATTGCTTTACCATATTGATCTGCTGCATAATGAAGAGTGGTTTCTCCATATTTATCTTTTTCATTGATATTTGCACCATGTGAAATAAGAAGTTCAGCTGTTTCTTTATTATTATTTTTTGCTGCAATATGAAGAGCGGTTTGTCCGTAATCATCCTTTTCATTGATATTTGTACCATGTAAAATAAGAAGTTCAGCTATTTCACTATTATCATTCAATGCTGCAACATGTAGAGCTGTTCTTCCATTTTTATCTTTTTCATTGATATTTGTACCATGTGAAATAAGAACTTCTGCCATCTCTTCACAATTATTTTTTGCTGCAATATGAAGAACGGTTTGTCCATCATCATCTTTTTCATTGATATTTGTACCATGTGAAATAAGAAATTCAGATATTTCTGTTCTATTATAATATACTACAATATGAAGAGCGGTTTGTCCGTAATCATCTTTTTCATTGATATTTGCACCATGTAAAATAAGAAGTTCAGCTATTTCACTATTATCATTCAATGCTGCAACATGAAGAGCTGCTCTTCCATCTTTATTTTTTTCATTGATATTTGCACCATGTGAAATAAGAAGTTCGGTTGTTTCTTTACTATTATTCCATGCTGCAATATGAAGAACGGTTTGTCCGTCATCATCTTTTTCATTGATATTTGTACAATGTGAAATAAGAAGTTCGGCTGTTTCTTTATAATTGTAACGTGATGCAATATGAAGAGAGGTATATCCATCTTTATTTTTTTCATTGATATTTGTACCATGTGAAATAAGAAGTTCAGCTGTTTCTTTATTATTATTTTTTGCTGCGATATGAAGAGCGGTTTTTCCATTTTTATCTTTTTCATTGATATTTATACCATGTGAAATACATTCATCATCTCCTTCATTATTGTTGACTATAATTTGATTGTATGACTCAAGTAATAATCTGCCAATATTAGAATTTTGCGCTTTAGATGCAAAATGAATAATTCCACATTTAGTGTGATTATGTTTGTTAGAAAATGTATTGTTTTTGAAAATATCTATTGTTTGCGGAAATGCAGCACCCCATGGAAAGATGTAATATTTGTTCCTTTTGAATAGAAGAAATACAGCATTAAGGTTTTGATATCTGATGATATCTTCATAAACAGGTTTATAGCTTGTATCACTCATCCAATTCTTTTCTTTTCCCGATTTCCAATACTCGCCATAAAAATCATCAAGCTCGAATATCTCTCTATCTAAAACATATTCAAGCAATTCGTGATTGTGTGTTCTTATAATGCTTCTGAGACAATCAATATCCATTTTATGTTCTTTCAAGCATTCGTTGATGATGTCTTGATTTCCTCCAATTAATGCGCTGCAAAGACAATTTTCAGTTATTTCACTAATATGATTTGAAGTTAAGAAATAAAATATGTTAACAGATCCAAAGTATGCACATGCTTCAATTAGTGATAACTCTGCAAAATAACTATAATTGTAAGCATTATTCCTGAAATTAGGAATTTGTAGAAAAATATCATCAGATATTGAATTTTGAGTTAAGTATTCTTTGAACTTATCAATTTGATCATGCATAACTATAAATTCAATCGAGTCCTCCGTTTCAAAATGATAATCCGATACTCCGGTTAGGTCAGCCCCGATCTGTTCGAGTATTTTGACGTAATTCGCTCCGGATGCATAATTGTATCTAATTGCCTCATGAATTAACTTTGTAAGTTGCTTGATTGAAAGTTGATACTTCGAAATCAAAGTATTTGTAATTATTCTGCACATATCTTCGATAGGTTCATTAGATTTTATGTGGAAGAGCTTTTCAAGCGCCCCTATAAAATCCGCATATTGTTTAGAATAGTCAGAACTCATAATGAAAAAAAAAATTTTTGACTAGTCAAAAATCTAGATTTTTTTTTGAAAGAAAAATAATACAGTCACCTGAAAAAAAACTGTCGAAGAAACGATAGAAACGTAGTGCATATCTTCCTTTTGGAAAGTAACAAACTGAAAAGGAAGGAGGGAAAATTGTAAGCATTGTTCACGGCCTTATTGCAGAACTTTTAATATATTCCTATATTCCTCAAATGTGATTAAATTTGGTTCATTTCATACTAAATAGATTATGGTAATAGTTTATATCATTATTATATCATTTATTAAAACTGCGACTGCTTTTTCTTGTTATAAATAAAAAAAATGAAAATTAATTTTTATTACAATTTATCAATAAAATAAAATAAATATATAAAAATAAGAAAAATTAGTGTCTTCCGTACAAGTTAACTTTGCTGTTGTTTGAAGCATTTGTTCTTCTTGCCAGCATCTTCTCTGTATCTGTTGGCTGGTGAGCGATAAGCCTTGGTCTTGCTTCTGGTTCCTTCTTATAACCGATCTTCTTGAAGAACAAAATCAATGATCTGATATCATTATATTGTTGTTGTCTGTAGAAGATCTTGTCACCGAATAATCTGATTGGTTCAACAACTCTGTGGTCTTTAGTTCCTTCCCAAACAAGTTCCAAGTAACCCTTGTTTTGTATTGATGTTGTTATTCTGTAAACCAACATGTTCTCATTCTTTGCCTTCTCTTCAGTGATGATTTCATTGGCTTGGGATGGATCTTCAACCCATTTCTCGTGTTTCATGATATTCTCCAATTGAGTTTTGATTGGATAGATGAACTTCCACTTGATTTCTTCCAAATCTGAGAACTTTTGGTCTCTGATGAACAAATCTTTACCGACAGCATCGACACTTTGTTTGTTCTGCTCAACGATGTCGTAGTTTGCGCAGATGTTGTTCGGGAAGAGGATTGTCAATGAGATATGTTCATTACCTTTGGAAGATGGTCTGAATATGAATGATCCAACAGATTGGTTTGAAAGTTCTGCTTCAGCCTGAGCCATTGTAACTTGTTTGAAGTTCTTGTGGTTGATGGATCTCGGCTGGTAAGTGACAATCATGTTCTTTTCTGCACTCAATGCTTCGGCGCGAGCTTCATCTTCTCCTGCGAAATCGAATGAGTCTTCATCAGTGATCAATCTGTGGTAATCCTTTGCTTTCTCGATTATGTCTGTGATGTAGCAGACATCGATAGAAACCATGCTCTCATCAACTCTTGTGATTACAGCATCGTGTGTTGTGTTGATCAACTCTCTTTCACTCGATGTGTCTCTTCCATCAAATGAATCGATGTTTGTGTCCAATGTCTTTCTCAAGTACTGGACATTGTTTGCAACATCCTGTGTGCAGAAAGCTCTGATGCCACTGGAGTGTTCACCAACAATTACTTGCATCCTGTTTGTGTCAATCTTAACGATTCTGATCGCTGTGATGACGTTTTCTTGGATTGTTTCTGTGGATGCTGATGTGAGTGCTTCGAAAACTTCGTGGTCACTCATGCATCTGTAGTAGTTGTTTTCATCATCGTGGACGGCCAATCTGTCGCTCTGGTATTTCTCGAGAGGAGACTTCGGATTTGGCTTTGGAGCATCCCAATCAACTGCTGGGTATCTGAGTGTTTCGTACGGACCTAATCTCAGCTGCTGAGCGATGAATTCGATGAGAGGTTCGTTGTTTGAGTGGGAAACAGCGACGTATCTCTTTACTGGCTCAGTGATGTCTGTGTCCTTTGAAGTGCGGGAGAAGAGTTCGATGATGTTTGTCTCGATGTACTGGGACTCGAAGAAACCTCTCTTAAGGATATCCATTGCTGTGTTGTATTCGTCCATTGGGATGAGTGTTCCGTCGAGGTAATTGTTGTCTTCGAGTGAATGGTCGTCGTTCAACTTGTTCTCCATTGGGAATCTGATGAAAGGAAGAGCGTTCTTGACAACCATGTCATCGAATTCGTGGAGTGCTGATCTGAGTTTCGATCTCTGTTTGATGTTGTCCTTCTGAGCGATGTCGATGATCTTCTCTGCAGTGTGTGGACCCAAACCAGGGATGAACTGAACTGTTGACCTGAGATTTGGATTGGAAATGGCCGCTGTCATGTCAACACCTGTCAATGCGATGGCTCTCAAGCAGGCTCTTTCGATTGCCTGTGCAACAGGAGATGTGTTGTCGTTGTTTCCGGAGAAGACAGACTGGAAAGGTGTCATGGCCCAGTCAGTGAGATGGTTCTTCTTTGGTGTGATGAGTCTGCAGAGTTCTGCCATTGGATTCTGCATTCTTCTGGCTGTTGATGCAGCAATCAAGAACTCAGCGCCATCAGCTCTTTTGTCCTTTGGAAGTTCGTGCAATTCGGCCTTGCAGCAGTCCCGGCTGTGAGCGTAGAGAATTGCGTGTTCGACAGGAGCCAAAAGAACTCTTGGACGATTTGACTCTGGCTGGATTCTGCTGTGAACGAGTTCGACAATTGCGTGAACCAAAGAAGCAGACTTGAGGCATGAAGCTGTGATTGCGATGACAGGAGGATGGTGTGTTTCAATGAACTTGACCAAAGCAACCTTTGACTTGATGACTTCGAGGTCATTTGCTGCGAGGTTGTTTGCAGAGCCTTCCTTGATCTGTTTGTCAGGATCATCCCAGTTGACAATGACCTTCGAGTCGATGATCTTGGAGTGCAAGTAAAGAGAATCGATGATGTTTCCTTTCTCGTTTACCATTGCAGCGTAAATCTTGCGCTTTGTGTCATCGGATGTGTAGTGCATTGCGAGGATCTTCTGGGACTTGAGGATGTATGGCTGTGATGTTGACAACTGTGTGTAAGGAGGAGATGTCAAGTGTGAGAAGAGTCTTGTCTCAATCTCGTTGCAGACGAATTTCTCAGCGTTCTTCTTGAGTTCGTCCTCTGTCTCCTTGACAATCTGTGGCCAGATGAAGTCCTTGATTGCCATCTGGAGAATGTCCTTGCGGAGGGAGTCCCAGTCGGATGGATACCTCATCCTGTACTTCGTGGAAATCTCTTCGATCTCTTTGTCAATGCCTTTGTCGGTGTCGATCGTGTATGTCAAGTTGCCGCTCTGGAAGGCTTCAACAATCAAGAGCCATTTGTCGGTCTTGTTGAATGAGATGATCGGCTTGTTCTTGAGGCGCTTGATTGAGCCGTACTTGCCCTTCGGATACATCATGGATGACTTGGCTCCGGAAGTTGTTGGCTGTGTGTTGATGACAATGTGTGGTGAGAAACGTGTCCTGAGCATGTCGATGAAGAGAGGATGTGTGGCCAACTGCTTGGCGGCGAATCCGACCATCTGACGGGTCATGACTTCGATGTTTGGAAAGACAGATGGGTAATTCGTGGACAATTCATCGTGCCAGCTCTGGAGAGCCTGCTGTGGATCGGTCTGTGGCTCTGGTGGATCGTTCAGGGAGCTGTTGAGAGACAAAATGTGGACGAAATCCATGGGTGAGTAGATGAACTTATCGATATAAGCTTGGAAGTACTCGGCGTTGCGCTTGAAGGTAGTGTTCTTGGGTGTGGTCTCTGGGTTCATCTGTAATTCATCGAAATTGTAGAGATCGTCGAGAGATGTGTCATCAGCGTTACGAATGAAGTGACGAAGCATGGCTGTCTTCTGGTCATCATCTGAAGGATCTGATGTAAGACCGAGATGCTCAATGAGTGGCTGGATTCTGATACGTTTCTCTGAGAAAATCTTGAATTCGCGAATTGCGTTCTGGATATGGTAAATATCCTCATCACCAATGACGGTATCTCTGTAAATGTTCTTTCTGTAGTTGATAATGAATTGTGGAGTGTGTTTTTCGTTATGTAATTCTTTGAGAACTTCAACGAGAGCTTCGATATCTCTTTCTCCACCGCCACGTGTCTTGAAGTGCTGGTCCATAATCCATCTGGCTTCATCAGCAATCTTGGATTCGTCGACATCGTGAGGAATGCGATCACATTCACGTTCGAATTCGTTCTTTGGAATGAGATTGACGGGAGCGACATCAGGAATTTCTGGCATCTTAGGTTTGATGACGTGTGGTGCTTCTGTTGGTTCAGCGAAAAGTTTATTAGCAAATTTGATTTGATCTGAGTTTAAAGTTAAGTTTGCATTTGCAGAAACGGCGTAACTTGTTTTCTTGTGGTAAATTTCTGATCCATCATCTCCGACAACGAAATCATCTTTTCTAATTTTAACGCGCTCTTTCTTTGGAGCCCTTGTGTCCAATTCTTCATCATCACTTTCTAAATCACCGCTAGAATCTGAGGAATCAATTTGACGGGAAAGACGTGGGCCGCGGTTTGAAATTAATTCGCGGAAATCTTCCCTTGCTTCTTTCTTGTTAATGCGTGGTTCCTCATCATAGTCTGAGGAAGATTCTGAAGAGAGCTCAGACTCTACAGCTGGAGGAGGCGCTGGTTGGTCGTTTTTTTCTTCTTCAGACATTATAACTAGCCAAAGGCGATATGTAAACTTTTCAATAAGTCATACTATTCCGTTAAATGAGCTAAAATGATAATATTTAGCATTACCGTAAATATCATTATTCGATTTAATTGTTATTTTAAATTTCTCTTGAATTCGAAATTTTCCACAAATTCAATTCATGCGTGAGCTGAACATATATAGGTCTCATAGCTTTCTCATACATTAGTAATTGTTTTTGTCAAGTTAATAGGATTTGAAATTTATTCCAAATCCTAGTAGTAGGATAGGAAGGGTTGTGTGACTTTTTTTGTTACATCTATATATAGACGATGCATTAAAATATATTTATTTATAAACACATTAAAAAATTAACATTAATTTTAAAATAATTTATTTTTTATCTTTTATAAAAGAAGCTATATATAGATGATGTCAGATATTCCGCGATTAATTAAACAATGTTTAAATCCTGAATGGAATCAATGGAGTCATAATCAAAGACCTCATATACGAGAGAGTAAAAGAAATTAGAAATAATTATTTTCATGAATAAAAGATTCACTACCATAATGAAATAAAAAATAAACTTTAAAAAGAATTTGATGAGTTCAACATAGAACTTTAAGAAACTAATGATTATTTGAATTTATGAAATCAATTATTTGATTCATTCTTTCTTCAATCTCTTCTATTCTTTTTGTTAAATCATCTATTTTCATTAATGAGGTGATTCTTGATTGAGGAATAGATTTCAAACTAATCACTCCTTTTATTTTTGAAATTTTGAATCCATCAACTTTAAACATTTTATTCAATTTACATGTTGTCAATTCTTCAAATAATTTTTTATTATTAGCATAATAGTCATTAAATTCTTCAACAGATGAAAAAATTTTTATTTCAGTAATTGGTTTAACAACGTTTATTTTTTGTTGAACATTTTCACTTTCATTTATTTCTTCCTCCTCTGTTTCATTTATTTTTAAAATCGGTTTCATTTATCATTAAATAAAAATTAGAATATAAGTGATGAAATATATTTTTTAATTAATATTAAATCAGAAATGGCGGCAGGATTCTTTAAAAAATTATGGGATGGAATTAAGAAAGCTGCGGGTTGGGTTCATAAAAATATTATTAAACCTGTTGCAAACTTTTTGGCACCAGTAGCGAAAACGGCAGGAACTATCATAGGTGGAGTATTAGGTACTAAAGCAGGTAATCCGGCGATGGGAGCACAAGCAGGTAACGCAATTGGTGGAATTGCTGAAGGAATACTTAATAAAATAGGAGGTAGATAGTGGAAAAATAAATATTATTTTTATCTTAGTATCGGTTGAAGTCTTTGATAAACTTTTTCTCCTTTATTTAATTTCTCTTATTGGGGCAGCTTTTGGTGTTATTGATTCAGCAACGTCACTAATTGCTTCTTTATTCTTAAATATCCAATTTGCTCCCTTCTTCAATGTTTCCCAAACTTTACTCGCGCTCCTCTTTTTACTTTATCCCACAGTTTCTTAAATATACCTGCAGCCATAGTTGATTATTTCATTAAAATTAAAAATTCATTTTCATCTTTTAATTTTGATTTTTTATTTATTAATAAATGACGACTAACTATTTGGTGCCAAACACTAAACCGATTAATGGAAATGTGTTTCATTCATTCGAAAAGATAAATGAAATATTCGCAAAGAATGACGGTAGAAGATATTATAGAGAACTTGAAAGTTCATGCTATGACTCTGATGCTCCATATTTTGATGATAAACAAACTCATTTAAGAATTACAAATCCGGCTCATGATGTGAACCAATTAGGTGACACATATATTAAACGCAAAGTTAAAGCAACTCTAGTTTCAAATAAAGCTTTCACATGTGATGCCGCTTTTAAATGCATGCGTTTATTCGTTGGTTACAAATCATCAAATCAAAGCTTTAAACAATTAGAAGTAGAAACCGAAAGAGGTGATGCCGGTTATCTTCAGATGGATTGCGCCCGTGAATCTTTCGCATTTGCAACATATAAACCAAAATCAGAAAGGAAAGTTAAAAAGTTTGTTCATTCGTTATATAATAATGTTCAAAAATATGATAACTCAGTATGTGGTAAATATATTGACCCTTCAGAAGTTTTCAAGAAGCAAATGAAGAAGTTGATGTCACTTTTGATATGATTATTCCGGTAAATGATTTGTTAGCATTTCAGGCGTTCGATGATTATCCTAAATCATTTGGTGATATCATTCTTAAATATTATGTTTTCAGGGATACTTTAGTATTTTGTCAGGTTGACCCGTTAAGAGTTGCTGATTTACAAAATTACGTTTATGAAAAGATAACTGATGAAAATTATGAAAAGATTATGAATCATGTTTATAAATATGATCGCAAATTCCAACAAATCGGACTTCCTGCCAAATTAATTACAAGCTTAGCCGCTACATCTGCTGACGCAACAGTTGATGACGTTATTATTTCATGCACAAAGATGGAAGTTTTAGAGGATAAATGCATTACACCAGGATACGGTTTAATTGAAGAATCAGTTAAAGCAATACCACGTTTATTCAGTAAGGAAGATCCATTCATGATTCCAGCTCAACATATTGACGTTCGTTCACTAAATGGAGGTTGCATCACTCCTGAAGGTATTAGCTCAGATTTCTCATACGCTCTTCATAATGTTACAGATGTTGTGTTACATTTCCGAAGAATGCAATGCAAAGAACAGTTTTAGAAAATCCAATGCTTCGAGGTCTTCAGGTCACTATAGATTCCAGAAACTTCCCCGATCAAGCGATGACCACAGTGGGCGACATATTCTTTACACGTATGCTTCAAGCTTCTGATTTAGATGGAGTGAATGAATGCACGGAAGAATACGAGGACTCATTAACTAGACCACTGAATGAGATGATGGCACGCCATTAGCTAGAACATGGAAAGACCAAACTTCATTCTTATGCACTATTCCAGTTCAACGTGATGGAGCGGGTATATTCTTTGATGGATTAGAAACTTTCAACTCACAAGTTACAGTACAAGTGAAAGCTTATCCAATCATTCAGGGTGAAATGACACTTACTGTTCAAAGGTGACAAATCCTCCTCAGGTTTGGTTTACTAGGACTACATATTGGACATGGACACCGGATGAAGGTTTGAAATATCATCCAACAGGTACACCACCACAGTATAGAAGTTCATATGATGAAATATTGATGAATAGAAATGTTTAAAATTATAAATTTTTTTTGATTAAATGGATTTAAATTCATCCACCCCTTATGAAGAATTAGCAGGAGTATATAATACATACGTAGATGATATGATTAATGAAGCATTGAGTGATAATAGAAATGCTCTATCTAAGGAAAAATTAATGAAAATTCCATATTCTGAATGTTACTTAAATTCAATCACTGCAGCAATTGGTAAACAAAATAAAGGTAAAACATTAACGATATTAAAACAAATTATCATTATTGCTAACACTTCCCCCTATTCACATGTGTTAATTTATATCAACCGTTCAGGTTCACCTTCAGATGATACATTTGAATCTTTAAAGCATTTAATCAAAATTCCAATTATTTATTTATCACAAGAAGAAGCAGAAGATTATTTAAAAAACTTTTTAATGTATAAAGAATTATATAATACAATCAAGAAGCAAGGATTAGAGGATAAAATTATTGATAAACAACGGGATGAATTATTTGAAACACTTTCTATTTCAAATTTTGATAGAGAATTTTTGCATTCACTCATTTTTCTAGATGATGCAGTGAAATCAAAACTAATAACAAATGAGAAATCATATTTTAATCAGTTATTAACTCAATGTCGACACATTCAGTGTTCATTCTTCATGGCTGTTCAATACTTCAAAGCATTAAGCACAAACATTAAATCAAATCTATCAACACTTTTCATTTTCAGTGGGTTTAGTCGTCAACAGTTGAACGTTATGCTTTATCAAGTGAATTTACCAATGAGCATTAATGAACTTTACACACAATATCAGCAATTAGGTGAACATGGAAAAATAATAGTTGATTTAAATAAAGGAAGTGTTAAATTTGATTAACTTTTTATAATTAATTTTTATTTTTTATTTATAATTAAACATGACAGAAATGGCAAATCTTCTACAGGTTCCATTAAAACAAGGGACAAACAAAAGGGTGCATATAATAGAACTATGAAAGTTCCTGATGGAATGAAAGAATTAGTTCATATTGTTGCTGGTCTTCAAAAAGATGTTAAACAAATGAGAAACGTTTTAACATTACCAGAAGCTCAAGCATATGCCAAACGTCAGGTCCAAATTGGGAAGCACACGAAGCAGACATTACGGGTCCAAATGGAAAACCTGATGGTATAAATGAAGTTTTCGTTACTGATGGTCAAGGTAATATTAAAGTCATAAATGGTTACAAATTAACTATAACTGATTATCCTAAACGTAAAGCATATAATGAACGTTATCCTATGCAATTTGATGAAAATGGAAAAGCTGTTAAACAATACATTGGAGAAGGTGAAAATGGTCCAATTAATTCATACCGTCATAATCCATATTCTTATTTCAATGAAGAATTAAATGCTGTTGAAGAGGGACTGGATGGATTACCACGATATTCTAACCAGTTTGATGGTCAATATGCAAATATTAGACCTGAAATTTCAGCTAAGAAATTCTTTAAAGTTGCTTTATTCGATCCAGTTTTCGCAAATGTTAAAGATGAACTTAAACAGCAATTCCAACCAATTATAGTAGCAAGAATTGCATCAGGTGCTTTATCTCAAGCATTCAAAGATTTAATTAAGAAACCATTATATCAGCAACGTGGTTTAACTTATGATTTAGTTAAGGAATCAGATAAAAGAAAATTTGAGAAATCAGATGATTATAAGAATGCAATTAATGAATATATTAGGTCTATTAATTTCGATGAAAATGCTAAAAATCAACTTCATGAACAAATACAGGGAATAATAGATTCAAAAGTTCCAGCAAAATAAAAGTTCCAGCAAAATAAAAGTTTAAATATATTTTTTATTCGATTATAAATGAGAAGACGTTTCACTAGTCAAAAGAACACTAACGCAAAAGCAGAGATTACGGTTGGTTATAACGTAAATGATGATAAATCACGAATTATTCAAAATGTTAAAGTTAATGTTAGCCCTGAATTAACAAGGTCAGCAACTCAACCAAATTTATTAACTCGTGACTTACCGAAAAAGGAGGAGGAGCAAAATAAAGAAGATGGAGACCCAATCATTTTATCTGAACCCGGTAAAGAACCTGTTGAAATTCCCACTTATCCAACATACCCCCCACCTCTTTCATCAAACATCGAGAACCCATATAAAATAGACATTAATTCTGAATTAATGAAAATTTACCGTGATATAATAATTAATAATTATGATTCAATAATAAATTTAATTGATCAATCCGGTTTAATTATTTTACCTTATGAATCATTAATTCACATTATCGCCATTCTTTGTGATGTTCAAGATTCAGACGTTAAGATTCAATTTTTCATAGATGATGAGGTTTCATGCTGCGGAACAGTTGCAAAAATAAATCCTATAAAGGATATTAGCACAATTAAGATATCAAAGAACGGAACAACAACTGAACTTCATTTAACATATAATGATATTTATAATAAAATAGTTGATGAATATAAAATATCACTTGAAAAATTCTTTGTTAAGGCTATTTAATATTCAAGCATTAACATTATCGAATAATAATCCTTTGAATCATAATCGATAATAATTGACCTTTCACCAGTTTCTATCGTTTGTTTTATTTCTTTTTGTTCCCCACTATCTGGATCGGTCATTGTAATTGTTTTTGTTATAGTATCAGCTTTATCTTTAACTTCAATCTTTTTTCCATCGGATATTTAAACCAAAATTCCAAAATTCGATATTGTCAATCTGTTCATATTTTAATCTATCAATTACATTTTAATACCATCTGAAAATCTTATGAAATGGTCATTATATGGGTTTGATTGAACTAAATTTGAATGAAGTGAAATATAACCTGTTGATGAATATGACACTGACTCATATTTTCTGAAAACACTAAAATTTATAACATGAATGAATTTCTTATTCGTTGAATTTATGAATTCTTGAGTAATCTTATTCTAGTTTTATTTATCACTGGAAAATAACGCTTTACCATATTTTTAATCGTAATAAAAATGTCAATTATCAATATTATTTCGAATAATAGCTGTGAATTAAATTTAACAGTTAGCGGAATTTATAATGTTACTCTCGTTTCTGTGAGTGGTAAATTTAATCCCATTCTTTTAGACCCTTCAGATTATATATCATTTTAAAGATGACCTTGAAAAAACGTATGATATGTATATAAATAATGTGATAGCGAAATGGGATATTAACATGATTTTAAGTTATTTAAATGAATCATTTATCGTATGGTATGAAGAAAATTTTAAATCAAAACCCGATAAACTTTTTGAACTTGATGAAATAAATAACCTTATTAAATTCCCGCTGAAAATTAAATTTTGTACTCCTCATCTTCGTTCATTGTTGGGGATATTAAATTTTGAAAAAGATGTTGGGGATGTTTTGTATTCTGACACCGGTTCCAATTTCATTTTAATCAAATGTGATAAAGTTAATACCCCAATGAGATTTTCACATCAAACATTAGACCCTAACTCTTACCCATCAATACAAAACATTTTATCCATCAACTTAAACACATTTTCTTTATCATATCCGTTTCAATTATCCGGGAATTCATTTATTCTTCATTCAAAAGATTTATCAAATATTAAATTTAGAATAACTGACCTATTTGATTGTGATTTAGAATTTATGAATGAAATATTATGGCAATTTCAAATAGAGAAAATAGCCGATGAGATAACAGATTAAATATTTATTTTTAAATCATAATAAATGATTAAACCACAGCAACTTAAGGTGCAAAACACCCAGGTCCTTCAGACCATTACATACGCCATATATGCATATAATTCAAAGATGGCAGAACAAACGCAAAGGTTGAAATATGGAGATTTGGAGATAGTATTGAAAAATGACCATTTCGAATTCGTTTGCAAAGGTGGTGCAGTGATATCAAATATAAAAGAAATTTTATTTATGAATTCAAAAATTAAAGGAATAACGGATGATATAACATCAATTCCACCAGAAGAACAGAGATATTACGCATTAAATGCATTTCCTAAAGTTTTGAAGATTGGAAGATTTAATTTAAATGAGGAATTCATAGAAGGTTTCCTAAATGACATAATGAAGAAGGTGGATAAGGAATATGTGGATAGTGAGTTAAATAAGAAGGCAAATTTGGTTTATGTTGATGAAAAAGATAATGAAATTAAAGAAAAGGTTGAATGGTATCATGAATGGACATCGGAGACTTTTAAAGTTAAAGCCGATACAGGATGGGTTTCAGGATGTTTAGATCTTAAAGCAGATAAAACTTATGTTGATGAAAATTATGCAAAGAAGTCGGAAGTAAATGATGTGATTACAAGCATGAAAAATGAAATACTTCAAACATTATATCCTGTTGGTTCTATTTATACGTCAATGAACTCAACAAATCCATCAACAGTTTTAGGTTTTGGTATGTGGAAGCAGATTGTAGATAAATTCTTATACTGTGCTAGATATTCAAAGCAAACAGGAGGTTCGAAGAAAATTAAAGAAGCAAACCTTCCACCGCACACTCATACAGGAACTACAAACACAACAGGTAATCATTCACATTCAATAACAAAAAGAGGTTATACAAATCTTGCAGCGGGTTCGGATAGATGGGGAATGAATAGATATGATACCACAACTGACCCAGTAGATTCAAGCACAGGTATTTTCTGTGGAACCGCAGGTAATCATTCACACACTTTCACAACAAATCCAACAGGCTCGGGTAAAGATTACATGCCACCATTTGTGACTGTATTCGCATGGTACCGTGTTCAATAAACACACTTGAGCCTACTTTGCAGGCTTACCGCGTTCATTGAATGTGCTTGAGACTTGACCCAAAGGGTTTAGGCTTACCGAATGAACTAAATATATTTTATGTCTGTAATTAATTAGGTAATGAAGTAATGGATGAACTGCAGAAATAATGTTTACGTTAAGTGACTCAAAGAGTCCGGTGACAAAGTCTCATGTTTACGTTAATGGTTTCAGGTTATTCAATAATTAATTATTTTTGAAGAACTGAAGGTGTCACCAGGTCACCAGGTCACCAGGTTATTTAACTTCTCTGAAAAAATGAGACAACATGACATTTTGACAACATAGGAGGAAGGCAGTTATGAATTATTTTTGAAGAACTGAAGGTGTCACCAGGTCACCAGGTCACCAGGTCACCAGGTTATTTAACTTCTCTAAAAAAATGAGACAACATGACATTTTGACAACACAGCAGGATTAATGCAAAAATAAATTCCAATCATACTTTATAAAGCTTCATTTACAGGTATTTCATCGTCAGTAAATGAATCCTCATTATCGTTTGGTTCAACATGTTTATATAATCCTTTCATTTCTTCTTTCAAAACATAATACCATGTCTGTTTACCATCTATTTTTCTTTGTTTCCTTTCACATTTATCCTTAATGCTCATTTGAAAGTTTTTGTCTTTCATGTCTGATGGTTTGCAGAATAGAGCATTTTTACACGTCATACCCGCACACAATTCATCATAATGTGTATTTATCCATACATCTAAAGGATTTGTTGATAATTCAATTAAATCTTGTTTGGCTTCAGTCATCGGTATGATTCGTACATTAAATGATGAAAGGTCATATTGCATAAAATATGTTAAAAGGTTATCATAAAATTCCTTTGTGCATGAATCCATTAAATTCTTGAAGTAATCAAATTGACCCTTGAATTTACCATTAACTCTTAAAACTACGTATCTTCTGTCTCCAACTTCAATTTTGACAGGGTAAACGTTATTAGTTACGAAAATGAAGTTTGCAACATTCTGAGCAGTTCTTCTGGGTTGATTCTTTTCATTAATTCTAATCTCATTATCCGTTATAATTGATTTCAAAGCGTTGAAGTTTGCGAGTCTGTCTTCACCTACATTCTTGAGTTCATTAAGTACAAGAAACATTTTATTTTCAACAACTGAATTGAAATTACCCGTTAGCTCACCTATTTCGGTAATGTTTTTACATGAATAACCGGCGAGGAGTTCAGAAATAATATCTGTAAATCTGTTTTTACCTGTTCCCTGAAGTCCTTTCAAAATAATTGCTGTTTCATTCTTGATTCCGGGATGTTGAATCATTGATGCAATCCAGCCGAGAAGGTATTTATACACTTCATCGTTATTATCACAAATGGCTTCTTTAATGAAATCCATAAACATCCCAATTTTTGAGTAATCTGGTTTTTCGAGAACGTTGTATTTATAACCCTGAAACGTTGAGAAAACATCTGGAGAATCAGATTTAAAGCAAACACCCTTAACGGTTAATGAAGACAATTGATTTAGTAGTACGTCCCATGCTGTTATTGTTTTACCTTCTTCTTTAAAGAATTTAATCATTTTAAGTGACTCTTTCATGTTTGATTGAAGAACGAATGATATTTGATTCATTTTGTCGTGGATATTATAGTCCTTTTGAATGAAGTATTTGTTTCCACAATCTACAAAACGGATTACACGTGATAAATCCTCAATTACTTCAGAACTGTTTTTATACTGATGATTTTCAGCCCTGCGTCTAATATCTGTTATCAAAAACGAGTCATCAAGTTCGATATCAAATGTTATTTTTGGCTTACGTAATAAAGGTAAAACATATTCATCATAATATTCCTTTTGATAAAGTTTTAGAATCTTCACTAAAACAAATGGAGAAGTCATTAAATGTGCATATCTACTACGTGCTTTTTCAAAATTACTTTTTGCATTTTCAGTTAAATTACAGAAGTTATAAACGTTATCGTATGCTTCATTAATCAAATGATTAGGTAACGAATTAATAGCTTGAAACAGTGTGAATAATGTAACTTCTTTTTCTAAATTCATGTTTCCACCGTCATTATGTACTTCAAAATCACTGATGCCATCAACTATGCTCTGGGCAAGTTTATCGACAATGTTTACATCTTTGTTTTCATTCATGATAGTCTTTATTTCTTCGTTCTTCTGTTCAACTCTTACCTTAATATTCAAATCATTTAATATATCATTCACTGTTCTGGTTAATGTTGAATCGTAACTTCCACGAATGAATGAGTATGTATTGATTGGTTCTGTTGCATTCTTGCGAACTCTTGAATCAGCCATAACCACTAAAGAACGCTTTGAATCATCCATAGAAGTCATGATATCAATATCATAATCATTGCAGGAATAACATTTAATCATTCTGTTCGAAACTGAATAGAAGAAATTAGTGTTGCAATAAATGTGAAGACCTCCTGAAGCGGTTTTAACGATAACATCTTTATCCGAAAGTTTTGATAAAATATCTTTTCTAACTGTTTCTTTAAGTTCATCATTGTATGATTTATTGATATCAACATCTATAATCGTTAAATTTGAAATTTTATTTACTAATAAAGCCATACCAGTTTTCCTTCCTCTTCCTCCATCATGTTTGAGGTAGTTATGTAAATCAATCTTGTTTTCACCAATTCTTTCGTTGAGGGTTTTAGTTTCTGCCACAACTAATTCCTCAGCTAATGAATCAATAACTTGTTCATCAGAAATGATAAAGTTACTGTTGTTGTTTGTTGCTGTCATTTATATAGGAATAAAAAAATAAAAATAATTTTAAAACTAACTTTATTTTTGGGCTGCTTCATATTTCCCCGACTGTTGTCAAAATGTCATGTTGTCTCATTTTTTCAGAGAAGTTAAATAACCTGGTGACCTGGTGACCTGGTGACACCTTCAGTTCTTCAAAAATAATTCATAACTGCCTTCCTCATTAATCCTGCGTGAATTTTGTATAAAAAAACAACCGTCTGAATTCCGGCGGTTGCTATATTCTTCACAAAACATTTACGATGAAGTCATGACAAAGCATATACGATGAAATCATGACAAAGCATATACGATGAAGTTTATTTCCTGTGTTGTTGTCAAAATGTCATGTTGTCTCATTTTTTCAGAGAAGTTAAATAACCTGGTGACCTGGTGACACCTTCAGTTCTTCAAAAATAATTCATAACTGCCTTCCTCCTATGTTGTCAAAATGTCATGTTGTCTCATTTTTTCAGAGAAGTTAAATAACCTGGTGACCTGGTGACCTGGTGACACCTTCAGTTCTTCAAAAATAATTCATAACTGCCTTCCTCCTATGTTGTCAAAATGTCATGTTGTCTCATTTTTTCAGAGAAGTTAAATAACCTGGTGACCTGGTGACCTGGTGACACCTTCAGTTCTTCAAAAATAATTCATAACTGCCTTCCTCCTATGTTGTCAAAATGTCATGTTGTCTCATTTTTTCAGAGAAGTTAAATAACCTGGTGACCTGGTGACCTGGTGACACCTTCAGTTCTTCAAAAATAATTCATAACTGCCTTCCTCCTATGTTGTCAAAATGTCATGTTGTCTCATTTTTTCAGAGAAGTTAAATAACCTGGTGACCTGGTGACACCTTCAGTTCTTCAAAAATAATTCATAACTGCCTTCCTCCTATGTTGTCAAAATGTCATGTTGTCTCATTTTTTCAGAGAAGTTAAATAACCTGGTGACCTGGTGACACCTTCAGTTCTTCAAAAATAATTCATAACTGCCTTCCTCATTAATCCTGCGTGAATTTTGTATAAAAAAACAACCGTCTGAATTCCGGCGGTTGCTATATTCTTCACAAAACATTTACGATGAAGTCATGACAAAGCATATACGATGAAATCATGACAAAGCATATACGATGAAGTTTATTTCCTGTGTTGTTGTCAAAATGTCATGTTGTCTCATTTTTTCAGAGAAGTTAAATAACCTGGTGACCTGGTGACACCTTCAGTTCTTCAAAAATAATTCATAACTGCCTTCCTCCTATGTTGTCAAAATGTCATGTTGTCTCATTTTTTCAGAGAAGTTAAATAACCTGGTGACCTGGTGACACCTTCAGTTCTTCAAAAATAATTCATAACTGCCTTCCTCCTATGTTTCAAAATGTCATGTTGTCTCATTTTTTCAGAGAAGTTAAATAACCTGGTGACCTGGTGACCTGGTGACACCTTCAGTTCTTCAAAAATAATTCATAACTGCCTTCCTCCTATGTTGTCAAAATGTCATGTTGTCTCATTTTTTCAGAGAAGTTAAATAACCTGGTGACCTGGTGACCTGGTGACACCTTCAGTTCTTCAAAAATAATTCATAACTGCCTTCCTCCTATGTTGTCAAAATGTCATGTTGTCTCATTTTTTCAGAGAAGTTAAATAACCTGGTGACCTGGTGACACCTTCAGTTCTTCAAAAATAATTCATAACTGCCTTCCTCCTATGTTGTCAAAATGTCATGTTGTCTCATTTTTTCAGAGAAGTTAAATAACCTGGTGACCTGGTGACACCTTCAGTTCTTCAAAAATAATTCATAACTGCCTTCCTCCTATGTTGTCAAAATGTCATGTTGTCTCATTTTTTCAGAGAAGTTAAATAACCTGGTGACCTGGTGACCTGGTGACACCTTCAGTTCTTCAAAAATAATTCATAACTGCCTTCCTCATTAATCCTGCGTGAATTTTGTATAAAAAAACAACCGTCTGAATTCCGGCGGTTGCTATATTCTTCACAAAACATTTACGATGAAGTCATGACAAAGCATATACGATGAAATCATGACAAAGCATATACGATGAAGTTTATTTCCTGTGTTGTTGTCAAAATGTCATGTTGTCTCATTTTTTCAGAGAAGTTAAATAACCTGGTGACCTGGTGACACCTTCAGTTCTTCAAAAATAATTCATAACTGCCTTCCTCCTATGTTGTCAAAATG